TGCCCTCCACCATCCAGAAGCCAGGCCAGGCCGGGCAGCTGAAAGGCAGGACTGGCCGTGCTGCTGGGGAGGCACCCAGCACTGCCCAGCGACCCCTTCTTCTGACTCGAGACAAAAGCCCTGAGGACCTGGGGCAAGGAAAGGACATAGAACTAATCCGTGCTGAACACTGACAAGGACACATGACAGAACGGATGTGGGGAACAGACAACACGGCCAAGGCGAGATGGATGCGACAGGCAGACACAGTGCAGCCCCACCGACACCCAACAGCGAGACAGGCACAGAGCCGGGGCGCAGTGGCAAAGACAAAGCCCTCCAGAGGCTGCTGGTGTGGCACAGGGCACGGGGCAACAGGTCAGACTTCCTCTCCTGCTAGGACCAAGGTGACATACCTGCGGAGCAAGAGCAAGGCTCCAGCCCTAGCAGTCTGGAGAACACTGCCCTGACATTTCTCACCCTTCTTAAGCAAGCAAACCCGCAGAGATGCAGCACACAAAGTTCCTTCACAGCCTGAACCTCAGCTTGTGAAATTTCCCTCACAGCCCTGGGCACCTGCATATGTCAATGGGAGCTTTGGCACCAGTTTTGATGTAGGGGGATATAATGAGGACCTACTGAGCAAGGACCTTAGGCTGTGCTGTAAGCAAGATCTGCTTTGATTCCTGGCCCTTCTTCATCTTGTAGGCAGGGAAACTGAGGCACAGAGCAAAACTGCTCATTCTGCACCCTGACTGACTCAAGGGCATGATCCCTCACCTGCTGCCAAGCTGTGCAGAAATCTAACCAAGCCCTGGGGCCCCTGAGCTCTCCTGCAAGCCTTGCCTGTGGATGGCTATGGCGAAGAGGCTCTGAAGCTGCTTTGTAACCCATCACACTCCACTGATTGTGCCCATGGCACCCAGTGAGCTCCAGCACCAGCTCCCCAGGGACACAGGAGAGTATTCTTAGAGAAGAACCACATCTGAGCACAGAGCTCCTCAGCTCTTCCAAAAGGCACAGGGTTTTTGCCAGACACTGTGGGGGGAGCTGCAATCCCTGCAGAGCCTCTGCCCACTGGTCTTGCACAGCCAAGCGTGACACACGATGGAGAGGAAAGGGACAAGCATCACAGCCCCAGGCAGGCAGAAGTCTCTGGGAAAGGGGAGGTGGGGAAGAAAGGAGGGTTAGTTGGGGGCAAAAGGAGAGGTAAGATCAACCAGGAGCAGTCCAGACTGATGTACCAGCTCAACTGGGGCTTGCTAAGGAGTGGGGGCTCACAGCACCCACCTCTGCTCCCACTCTCATTTGCCTCGAAGGGTGAAGCCACAGCAAGCATCGGACAAGAACCCACTGCACTGCAAAGGCATTTCCATTCCAGCAGGAAGTGTGTGGGGCGAGGGATGGGAGCAAAACCAGGGCAATCTCTCCATCCCAGGGGCTCTCAAGCAAAACTAGAGAGGAGGGGAGCAGTGAGAAGAGGCCAGGACTGTCACTGCCTACGGAGAAGGGGAGAAAGCCGACCTCCCAGCAGAGATGTCCGGGTAGGGAGCAGAAGGGTGCTGCGAGGACACAATTCCTTCCTCCAAACAGGCAACACTGTAAAACACAAGACACAGACGAAAAAGGAAAGAGAGAGAGCGGAGGGAGAAGGAGAGTGGGGAGGGGGAGTAGAGAGAGGCAGGGAGGAAAAGACAGATGCAACTACAGACACCTCCCCTCCACCTCCTGGCCATGGCGGTCTCATCCCATCTGTTCTTTCGCAACTGCCCCATCATGGTGTCAAAGTAAAGAAGGACTAAAAAAGAGGCCCAGACTGTTTTGTTTGGCTTTGCCTCCTTTGCCTTGCTGCTGGAAAGGACAGCAGCAGAGCTTAGAGTTCATTAGACAGGTACGTGTGAGAGATTAAAACACTGCCACCATACTAATGGCCTGTCTTTCATTTCCTTCCCTTCCCCAGCATCCTCACAGCACAGAGGCGTGGACGGACTGTCCTGGGTGCTGGATGCAGACAGAGCCTGTAGCTCCCTCAGTTCCTGGTCCCGTCCCAGCCTGTGCTGTGGGCTGCACCCTGCCAGGACAGCACCACCCACAGTGCTCACACTGAGAAGGCTGGCAAGCAACATCACCATCCTGTCCCTGTTCCTAAATCCGTTTCCCATCTCGCATTGGGTCTGAACTGGTGACACAGAGGAGGACGTGCTTTCTTCCCAAAAAGCAGCACTAAGCTCAGAGAGAAGATGCTTTCCTAAGCTGATGGGGAGGCCAAAGGCTTGCCCGTACCTCGTGGTAGCTTGCTGCAAGGCAGCCTGGAGCTGTCATGTGGACTTTGAAATCCTAGGCTTTGGCAGACAGAGCCCCACCTTTGATTTACATCCCCCAGACGACAGGTTTTGTTTGCTCCTACCCACAGGATGTAGCTCCTGAAAGCAGATGTGTGCATCTGCTGTCCTCGCCTGGAGGAAGAGAAGTTGAGGGAAAGCTAAAATACAGTAAGATGGAGAGAAGAAGGGCAGATGCGTAGGGACCATATCCTGCTGTCCACTGGCCTCACTCCACTGAGCATGGTGGAAGTGATGTGTGTCTGACAGCAGGGTAGCTAGCAGCACGAGTTCCCTGCTCGCCTAGAAACTCGGGAAGCCTTAGCAAGGGCCTGAGAGTCTAAAGGAGACACAGGGAGCACCCAGGACATCAGGACCCAGGCACCACCTCCCGGCCTCGCTGCCCCAGAGCTGCCCCAGGAGCCCAGCTGTGAGCCCCTTGCTGTGCCCAGCCCTGCCCCGTGCCCCTCGCTGTGCCCAGTCCTGTCCCGTGCCAAGGAGGTCACTCCTCCAGCAACGCTCCACGGTGGCACAACAGGGCAGGGCAACTGCCCGTGGCCCGGGCAGATGGGACCGAAAGGTGCCTCTGTTGCCCTCCCATAGGGAGAACTTGGGGAACTGACTCCTAATCGTTCAACCGCCAGAAATGCAGTGAAACAAACAGAAATAACAGTTGTAATTATATTGAAAAATATATATATGGTTTTGGGAGCCTGACAAACGGTTTTCAAGCAGCTGGGCTTGGCAGCATTAAAAACCTCCTGCAGGAGCACAAAGCCAACAAAACAGACCCACAACATGGGGCTCGATTTCCAAGTACTTCAGAAGGTTTGCTACAGCTGATACCTCATAACACATCAGCTTAAAATAACAGGACAGTTCTGGATCTAGTAAAAACCAATTTGAGCTGAAATGAACAGTCCTTCCAACTGATACAAACTGATCCAGTGACCGTGTTTAACATCCTTCACTTCCTGGGCAATAATTTTAAAATTGGCCGTTCCCAACGTCCTGGGGACCCGAAGCCCCATCCTATCCACACACGCCTGAAAAAACATCCATTGGAAAGGTCAAAAGCTTCTCCCAGAGATGAGACAAAGACACGGCGAGACCTCCAGAGAGCGGGTGCACTGGGAAGAGTTCCTTATGTAGAGTACCTGGAGCTGAGAGAAGCGGGCAGGCGTGGAGGGGGAAGCATGGAAGGGGCTTGGGGACTGGCACTACCCTGGGAGGAGAAATGGATGTGTGGGCTGCACAGGAACTTCATGGTGGTGAATGTGCACTTGGCCGTAGCGGTGAATGAGAGAAAACAGTTGGACATCACAGACACTTCGGTACTGTTCAAACACAAATGATTCTTCCCCGTGGTACTGAGCACATCAGACAGAGACAAGACCAAGGAGGAACACATGCACACACACACACGAGGACTGCTGACTGCTGGAAGGAAAAAGAACAGGCAGGAACGGACATTCAGG